TTCCGGGGCATTTCTTCGATGGGCCATCGTGTTAAAAACAGACCGATCAACCAAGTCTAATGCGCCTTGGAAATCCAGGAATACTAAAGCTGTGGTTCGCTCGTACGTAAGGCGTTGTTCTAGCACCTAACGGAGTGTGATGATAAGTTGAAGAGCCTCTAGAAGACGATTCTCGCAAATTCTTCCAACATCCGGATCAGCAGGTTTTTCAGTTGTTAAGCGATTTGGCAACATCTTACGCGGCCAAGAAGCGACTCCGGACGAGGGGTAATCACATTCACAAATGTTCCAAAACGAGTGGCAGTCGGTCACTGATCCGCACCATCGGTGATCAAATTGAGTTCGTGGGCGGCACGCCGTTGGAAGAAACCATGTGGCCGAAGGACTTCGGCTATTTCGAAGTAGGTACAGTATAATAACAGACTGCGGTTAGCATAGATCTGAAACAACCGTTTTCCGTACATACCGAGTCCAATCCATATCCTAATCCACTATCAGATGCAGTAAGCCTGCCCAATTAGATCTCCGGCAACCACAACAATATCTTGGCTTCTAGCTTAAAGCAGCAGAGTACTCAAGGCGTCATAAAACTTGCCCTTGGTGGTGTTATATTTACAGTCGGCTGCGGCGTAACCAGACACGAGGAACGGACAGCAATCAACTTCCCGCTATTGAAACTCCTTCACAGATGTTGCCGGATGAACCGCACACAGGCGATTATCAATAGGCATTCAGCCAGGCAGGCATCCTTCCATCCAGTGACTTAGAACGACGCCAACCCCTGCATATCATCATCATTGTCAGCTGTAAGAAACGCGTACTTGTCATACAGTGGTTGTAGCTGTCACAGTTTCGTTCATTGATGATTTGGGGAGGTGGGGTAAATAGCTGCGCATTGGAGGCGGGAGTGATAAGTTGGTGCGTAAATATAGCACTGTCAGTGGACCGTCAAGTGGAGGAATTTGGAGGGCAATAGCTTGGATGCACGAGCGCCATTGAGGGCGCGACTAGGCCATGTCTGAGAATGCCTTCAACCATTAATGTGGCCCTGTCTCGGGGTCACCATTCAGGAAAACGGCAATGGCCAGTGTAGCTGAGTTCGCTGGTAACGGCTTTTATAATTTGCTGCCAAGTCATGTTTGACCGCCTCTGGATCGTTTCCACCCTTTACGTTTGTCTAGCGAAAAGAACCCTCCGATGGAGTCGGTCGAATGGCATACGCAGCACGTGGCCAAGCCAGCGTAACCTATGCAGCGTGATCCTTTTAGCTATCGAGGATGAGTTGGTCCTTCCAAGTACCATTCGAAGTACATCAGCATTGCTCGTTCGGCGTTCCCACCAAACTCAAACAATTCTCCGAAGACATCGATGGTGAAACACTGAAAGACCTTTGACATCGTCGGTACACAGCGGCCAGGTCCGTGATCCATACAGTAATATGAAGCGCACCGCAGCATTGTAAACTCGACCCTTGACAGATAAGATGATGTCACGCCTACGCCACAGGCGATGCAGGTTCACAAAAGCTGCTTTAGCCTTCTCAATCAGGATGACAATATCACCTTTTGCGAGATCACTGGGACTGATACAGCTGCCCAGGTAAACAAATGTCTACTACCTCAATCGGTTCATCCGCAACCATGAGACTAAAGATCGAGCCCACCAAGTCCTGCAGTAGCACTTTACACGTTGCAGATGTGAAGTGCATGCCAAAAAGTAAGGCAGAATTAGTCAGATCATTTAATATTGTTTGAATTACCACGATGTCAGATCCGAGAAGAGTTATGTCGTCTGCGTACACGACATCTGTGAGCAGACGCCCCGGGAGCACTTCGACCCCACAAGCACTAGAGGCTGATAGGGAGTCTTCCATGATCGTATCAATCACGAAATTGAAAAGGAAAGGTGAAAGAGAACAGCCTTGTCTGACACTACTTGATGTAGTGAACTCAAGTGAGAGCTTCCCGTAGACGTTCACACGGTCGAGGGATTGTGTGCACCGTCGTACCCGTTGCCTGCGAATATGGCACTCCTGGCATCAACCATGGATAGCAATTTCGACGACATCCAGTGGTCTTGCGGTGGAAATGGAAAAGTCGCAAAGACAGCACTAAACGCTGCCAACATAGATTCTTTCGCATTTTGGCACGCTTCATCCACATGCTCACTGCCACCACAATATTAGCTTGCTGCGCAGATTTGCTGGGCTAGCTCAGATCGACACTGTTGTGCTATGGTAGTTCTTCGAAGTGGATTAGTATGCTTCTTGCTGACTTGCGGGGGCCGGAAGGGAAAGGAACTGTTAGGCGTGCACGCACCATGACGTGACCGGAATCAATTAGTGTGTCCCAGAAGGAACGGCAGTCTTGAATTGTGGCTCTCCACCGGTGGCTGAGGGTCACGTGGTCCAACTGGGTGCACGGTTGATTTGCAGTTGGTGGCCGCCTGTTACGCGATGCTAACGTTGCGCTGAGAGTTCGTACTTGCTAGAAACAGTTCATGATCAGCAGACAATTGAAGGAATCTATCTCTGTTATCCGTGCGGCGAAAATCGACTCAGAATCGACCGCCCAAATATGATCCCAAGGAGCTCAGACGACCTACTTGAGCATTCAAGTCGCCTGCAAGGATCACAATGTCAGTGCTTTTTGCCTGACGAATGAGCCCGGATAGCTCTCGATAGAAAGTATCCTTCTACGCACCAGAACTGAAGTCCGTTGGGGCATAAGCCGACACGACAAACAGGCACCGCTTTTTATATCGCGAGGCACTAAGCTTCATTGAACTGGATAACCGGACGGCGCAGAGACGACTGTTCACTGGGATCTGATCCAGCAAAGCGCGTTCAGCTCTGGGGATGAGTGCGACTCCCACGCCATATAATCCACGAGTCATCGCTTCTGGGTCACCGGACACACGGAGGGAGAAATGTGAAAAAGCTGAGTTCATCCTTGGCGTTCTGAGATGCATACCCACGCTTGGATCTTGTATGCGTGTTTCGGAGACACAGTATACATCAATTTTAAG